AGATGACACAGTGCCTCTGCTTTGGCCAGGCGCGGTGCTGCTCAGACCAGGCAAGTGGTGCAGCACCGTTGCCAACTGGCAGCAGTAGCACAGGCTTGGGGCAGCCTGCTGCTACTGTGATGACTGACAGGATCCTGGCGATTGCCCTGTCCAGCTTTTTAATGTTGGCACACCCCAGAAATGTCGGGGCAAGGGTGGGGTGTTTGAAGAGCATTATTAAATAGCAGTGGCTTCCCTGGGACAGAGCGGGAGGGGAAGAGGGAAGCACGAGGTCCATAACTAGGGCTTTGCAGAGCAGAGGCTTTTAGCAAAAAGTTTTCTTACCCCTCCAGGGCAGGTACAAATTAACTGTCTAGTTCTGTGCTTATGTGTTGTGCCCTGGGCCCCATTCTTCCCATGTAAGTGCAGCAGCAGCTTGACAGCGAGGAAGAGATCATCAGGAAAGATTCCTTGAGGCTGTTGATTGTCATGCAGCCTCTCCTGGCTCTCTGCCATAAGTAAATATTTAGTTTAATACCTAAGCAATGGCTGTGACAGGTGCTACAGTACTGATGTGCCAGCACTAACAAGTTGGAGGGGGAGCAGCAGCAGTTGACTTGGTGGCCTTTGCACTCCACATGCAGTTTGTTTGCTGAACACTTTGAGGGTCTATTTTTTTTTTCTTTTCCTCATGCCTTACAGCCCTGCTTTCTCTGAGCTATCTTCTCCCCTGCTGAATTCAACGTTGAAGAAGTGGCTGTGAAGTAATGAAATGAGCTTTAGGGAGTTCAGCAGATGATGTACGTGCCCACTCCTGTTCAGGGAGGATGGAAAAGGCACACCAATGAGATAAGTAGTTGCTTCTAGTGTGGTCTTTGAAAATAGAGAAGTGCAGACATAAATTACTCAACCAAATCTTTCTCCACACTTCATGACTACAGGGGTGTAGAATGGAAGCAACCAACTGTTTCTTTAGTGAGTATTGCTTTCCCTTTGTATGAGAGTCACCTTCTGTGTGGAAGCTTAGCTACCTAGACAGTTTTGGTATTTCTAGAGGAAGACTTTTTATCTTGCTGACATCCTCTGAACTCAGAGAAGAGATGGGAGTCCCTGAAATAACAGAATAGTTCTGGAATCTCTTGTGAAGTGTGGGGAGATCACCAGAGACAGGGTTTTCTACAAACATAAGCACAGGTCAAGCAACTGTTCTGTGTAATCTAGGCTGGGTTGTGTGGCCCTAAAGGGAAAGGGTAGGACCTTTCTTGCCTACCAAAATGACATTTATATGTTTATGTTGCCAAGAAGAGAACAGCTTGCTATACTTATGTTGCCTCTTTGGACTTAAGCTTCCATGGGGATGTTCTGAAGCTCCCACTCCTCACACTTCACAGTGTTTCTAGTTAGAGAACATACCATTTGAAACTCTGTTTCAGAACAGCAGCTGGAAACAAATGCAACTGCCAACTTCATAAAATGCTGAATCGTCACATCTAATGGTGTGGCTATGTATTACTGAATTAGTAGCATAGTGATGCTAAGACCAAGTTTGATATTGGTTATGGTGAAGAGCCTGGAAGCTTTCTGTGACTGCTGGCAGTGATTATGGACTGATAAAGTGTGATGCAACACGTTATCTGTCCTAAATGCAAATGCCACCCTATTAAAAATAAACTCTCTGGAGGCTGTGGTAAAGTGTGGTGGGCACCTTAAAGACTAGTGGACTTTTACAACAGTGGTTTTAAACTGGTCCCTGAACCCTTGGCCGTCAATATGGCTGTTACACATGGCCTGCAACTAGTCTGTGGACCAGCCTTAATGAAAGGGAACTGGTGAATTATCAACTTTATGCATTTGTATTGCTAGTTTTAAGAGTGTTTGAGGATTGGCAGCAATCTCTTGACCTAGAAGCTGGAGAATCATGTTAGTGTGGGATTCCTGTAATAACTTGAATATTATTCCTAGAAGTTCAGGACTACAAAGCATGGACAGCCCCACTGGCAAAGAGGTGTGGTCACTCTGTGGTATGTTTTCAGGCTGGCTACTTTGGTTGAAATATCTCAGTAACTTTTTATAAGATTTAGCAATGGATCAAGAAAAGACTAAAAAAAAAAAAATTCTGAAAGGAATTAGCTGTGATCTATGGAGGATAATGCTTCCTGGCAGGCTTCTGACCTTCTTTGAAGAGAGGGACCTGACGATGTTGAAGGAACTTCAATTTTTTTTCCACTCTGTAGATAGAGCAGGGGGTCTTGCTAATGGATGCAATTGCAACAGCCAGTCTGTACGACTGCATCAGATTGATTAGCTGGGTTCTGGTTACTGCTGCGAGTGGTGATTATGCCAGTACAGCTGCCTTCTCTTTTTATGTACTAATTACCACACGCACGGATGTCATCACCCTTAACACTGCATGGAGTTGTCCCATTAGCGTAGGAGTCGGAAGCAGCAGGGGAGGGGAGCTCTTCGGCGTGACAAGCTGTTTAGAAGTGAATGGAGTGGAGTGGAGTGACGAAGCAACTATTCTTACACAGAATTTTTAAGCCATCTTGTCTTTGAGATTCTGCCCTCAGCCAACATTTTTGCAGGTTGTCAGAACTAGACCCATGTCCTTGGCAGCACTTTCCATGGGGTGTTATTTACTGCAAAGCACCTGGACGCTGAGCTGTAGCTAGCAAGTCTCCCCCCTTGACATGGCGGGTGGCGGAGCCTGTGGGACAGTGGCTGCACAAACTGCCCTGCCAGTGGAGGAGAGCTTGCTGCTAGCCCAGAAAGGCAGCTTCTCTAGCTGTGATACCTTCCAAAGCTGTTCTGAGGAGAAGAGAAACCATTTGTTTCTGACTTGCCCAAGAAAAATATGATGGAAAACCCTTGCAGTTCTTGAGAGATTTGGAATGCTTATTTTATGAATTTATGCTCCCAGCTCTGGAGGACCCCTCCCTTTCTCCTCCTTCCTCCTCCTCCTCCTCCTCAAAATCCAGTCTCCCCATTTCAGAGTGCACCATAATCTCCATGGTAACAGGTGTTACCATCGTACATCTGATTCCCCCTTCCCCCTGCCCCCGCGAGCAAGGCAGGGAGGGAACAGGGCAGACATGACAGAGATCAGTTAAGAGCTAGCTAAACCTCTAAGGGCCTGTTCCTTCCATCCAAACACTGAGCTTCTCTGAATGCACTAACTGCTGAGTGATAGCCAGGGCAAAGAGGGACCAGCTTCTGTCATACAGAGAAATCCTTCAGGACATTTTCTCCTCTAATGTGGCCTCCTCAGAGGAGAGGTTAAATGTGTTACTGAAGATGGGAAATAATGTAGCTATATTGTTTTGTTCTGACTTTGTTTGCATTACTGCGGTCAAGATGAAGGTTCTGGGTACTAGCTATCGGAGGGCATACAGTTAAGTGGTCTCTGCCTCAGACTTCTCAAGTTAAATTGTCAGCCAGACAAGATGTGGGGTGGGCAGTAGAGCTACAGAGACAAGTACGTAAGCTGTTGTTGTGAGTCCCAGTTTGTTATGCTGGCTGATGAGTCCTACCCTAATGAATTCTAATTATTACTTCAGGCCACCTCAGTAGTGCAGTAGTTGATCTGCATTCCTGTCTACCGTTATCCTGTTGTTCCAGCACATCCTCATTCCCTTCCCTGCTTCCTGGTCCAGCACCATCCCCTTTTCTGAGGAGTCTGGAAGAAAGGTTTTGTGATGGATGGATGGTTGCCCACCAGAAAATCTAATGAAAACATATCTTTCACCTGGGACTTATCCCATTGAAAATCTAGATTCAAAGTCTGTGTTACCTGCAGTGATTACAAGTTTAAATCCTAGGTAAATTTCTGCAGAAATTTTGTTAATGATTTGGACTTGTAAATGCAGTCTTCAGTCCTACCCTTCTGAAGCCATGATGGAACATGCTCTGATGGCCCAGTCTACTGAAGCAGCTTGTCCCTGTCTATTCATGGTAGCCAAACAGCTCATTACCCCTCTTTCCACTTCCCATGCCTTTGTTTATATGATCTGCATGTGTCATATTTTCTGGCTAAATGGAGTGTTGTCAGTATTCCCAGTTCTGGTTGCTGGATGGCAGGGTGCAGGAAAGCATTGTGCTATACAAAAGACATTAGCTTCTTGGAGTGGAAGGAGAGTATCTGCATAGGTATAATCTGTTCTGCTTCATTGTTCTTGCTGTTCAAGCTCATACGCTTCAGAAACCAAGCAAGTGCAGACCAGAAAGCAGAGCTTGCTATTGGTCCTTTGTGTGCACAGGGTTTTCATTCACCTGCATTAATGCAGCATTTGGGAAGCACTGGCTTGCAGCTGTGCTAACTACCTGCAGTCTTAGCAGCTCTTCAGCTTCTTACCTTACTGCAGGTAAAATGGATGGTGTTGGAAGGGACCTGAACTGAGGGATTTGTTACTTGCTTACTTGTGTTATTGTTATATTCTCTGAATTTTGATTTTCCTTTGTGCACTGTTGGTGTGGGGGTTGGTCAAACTCTGAAACATTTTCAGGAGGCTGTTTAAATGTTTAAAAAATTAAAGAATTGTATATTATTTTTGCATAAAGTTTGGTTTGCTTAATAGAAACAATAAACTTTTGATGCTGAAAGCCCATGTACTTGCCAGTTTCCTGTTCCACACTAGTGAGTTAAGATGAGAGGTGAAGGCCAAAGAGTCCCAGTTGTCCTGCTTTCTAATGACTATACCACTTGTCCCCATCACTTTAAATAGTTTGAAGAGAAGGACTGTGCAGTCCACTGAGTGACATGCAGATTCTCCTGGGGTCAGAATTTCTTCTGCTCTGCAGCTGCATGCCAGTCAGTCGTATTAAACACTTAGGGGCACATATATGTGCGTTTCTAGCAGCTGCTTACTCTTGCTGCTGGATTAGTGGTTTCTTGCAACGTCCTGTAAAGTGACATGTCTCCTTGGCCAGCTGGGCTGCTGCAGGGAGATTGAACGCTTGTTAGAGCCTCCTTGGCTCGCCTGCATTGTATTGTCCTGTCAAGTAACCTCCTGTTATTGTTTCAGAGAGTTTTCAACGTTCTGTACCCAATGCCTGCTGACCAGAGAAGACACGTCAGCATAAACTCTGCTCGCTGGCTGCCCGAGCCAGGCCTGGGATTGGCATATGGTACCAACAAAGGGGACCTGGTGATTTGCCGACCAGAGTAAGTGATTGCTTTACATGGAGTTATAACTGTTTTGGCCGTTCTATTCTTAGGGCAGTGGGGATAAGATGGCTTTTCACTGCCTGGGGCATTGTGCTTGAGGGACCCAAAAAACCCAACCTCTAGTACTCCTCTTGGGCTGCCCCAGTGTTTACCTGAGTCTCCTACAATCGATGTTTGTTTTGCTGATTATAAACTTCTGGGGCTGTTTGAAGTGCATCTCATTAGCTCATATTATTTCCCATGTCTTTCTAGGCTTTCTGGATCCTTTGTTTCACATATGTCTAGTGCAGTGTCTTTCAGTCTCTCTGGATTTATGGATTTCTAAAACTTTCCAGTGAGAACAGCAAATTTGAGCTGTTAGTGATATGCTTGCTTTCCTTGGTTTTCATGGACCCCTTGGAGTCCACCAACCAGGTTGAAAGATGCTGACCTAGACTTATCAAATACTTGTTACAGTATTCAAGCATGAGATTCTATGAACTGCCAAAATTTTTGACATGATTATGAGCAAGCCAGTGAATTGTTTTTGTCCTCACTTGAAAGTCCAATGATGTGACGTGTAGACTTTAGCTCTCTTTTATTTATACAGTGCCATGAAGTGTAACTGTCCCTTTGTAAACTTGCAGTTAAACACAAGCTAATTTAGACGTGGTGTGACACAGATAAAGACTGAGCGTCTGAGCAATGAGACATGTATTGCTTTCAGTGTTCTTGGAGGCTCTCTGCACCATACTTGTGGAGACTCTTTTCTCCATTGTGTTGTGCCAGTGCTTCTTTTGGAGCAATGTTTCTTTTATGCTGCAGGAATACTTCAGGGATTTCTCCGATTCAGTTATTTCCTGGTACTAAACCGCTTTGGTGTTCTTTTGGGTTATGCTTCACATGTTGAAGTTCCTTGTAACTTAAAAGCTGCAGCTAGAAACTTGCAGCACCGCTGGTCATCTTACCACATGCATGTGGACTCCATTTGTTGTGCATGAGATCAAGCATGTGGTGCTTGAGGAGAGTCATATGGTCAGTGCAGAACCACTATCTTAACTCAGAATACGTATACACAGTTGTAATAGTGACTAATTCAGTACAGCATGCTGGTGAAATCTGTGATTGGAATTCAGATTGGACCGATTTCAGTAGTACAGAATGCCAGCGCTCTTCATACAGCCCTCTTGTTCACTTGAAAATAATCTTTCATCAAGGCCTTATTTATACATGAAGTTCTACAAGATATTATTATGGAATAAGCTATAATCACTCTCTTCCAGGATAAGTGGCTTTCTTCAAGAATAGTTGGTGTACTTTCTAAGCAGAAGAATTATTCAGGAATAATGGCTCTCTTCTTAAACTCTAGAGAGTTATTGTAAGCTATTTTCAGTACAGAGAAGTGATAAGATCTAGTCTACTGATTATGGCTCATGAGATGAACTTGGATGAGAACCCAGGGAAATGAAGTCTCTGTGAGGGTGGGTGCTTTGATGGAATACTGCAGTGTTGAGCTTGGTCTGGCTGTCCTGGCTTGCCACGCACCACATCTATTCTGGTGCTTGCAGTAGCCCCAAGCTACGTGGCATGTCTCTTCTTGGCACCTCACTAATTAAAGACACAAGAACACTTTCATGGTATGTTATGGAAGCACTGTCAGTCCTTCTGCAGCACCTCTGTGAAACCTCCTTAGCTCACCATGTTGCTAGGGCACTCTTCTATCTCCTTCTATCCCAGCAATGATCATGCACAATTCCAACAAAAATGAACTTTTTGTATACAAACATGAAAGAAGGTGGCTGTAGAGGTGGGAGATTTATTGGTGGTTTGACAGAAATGCTTCAACAGGTTTCCTGCTGATGGATTGGAGTGACTGATGCTTCTGGTGATTATTGCAGACCTCACATGGACTGGTGGGTTCTTTTTGGAGCAGGACACTTGATATGTTCTGTTCTCAACTGCACTGTTTCATAGACCAACAATAGCCAGAGTGACTTAAAAAACTCTGTATGAAGGTGTAGATACTCACTGACATGAATAATTTGCATTGAGGTTCTAACATCAGAACACACGAATGAGTGAGGCTCTATCAGAGCAGAAGTGGCTTGCAGCTGTGATGTCTGCCCCAGATCTGCTTGGAAGATCCTCAGAGAAAGGAAAAATCCCAACATGTAGATGCCATCTCAGTAGTTCTTGGCTTAATGGACTTGGTTTGAGGTTGGCATATCTGTTGACTTTAACTTGAGAAGTGAGGGAGAAAGATGAAAAATATTTGTGTAGTTTCCCTACGCAGTAATACAGAGGAAGAGAAATATTAAATAAAGGATTCGGCAATTGATGGAGTACTATATGGGGGATAGCCTAGCAAACAGTAGGGATCAAGAAAACACTGTACTGCTGAAAACACCCCCACTGTTCTAATTTGGCAAAGAAAACTGGTCAGTAGCAAACAGCTGAGATGGTTATAATTCTCTGGGTCTTTATTCCCACGTACAATGGAGGCATTTGAAACCAAGTACTACAGGGATCACATAAACAGGTTGGAATAGCAGCTGTGCCTCAAATACAGGATTTGAAAAGCATGTGCTTAGGGAAAATGAGATGAGTAGACTGGAAGTACAAGCTGACCAAAAAAAAAAAGGCATAACTTGAAGCTCCATGGGCTCCTAATGAGAGGCTATGCAAGTAGTCCTTCCAGAGTTCTAAAGAAACAATAACTAAAATCAAACGTTTTGGGCTATATTGCTAAGTTGGGGTAGCACTGATAGCAGGTTTTTATGCAAATGGAAATGGGGAAGGTGAGGTTATATTGGCAATCTGTAATGTGAACTCAGTACACAGATTTATGGGGTATGTTTTGAAGGAAAGGAATTAAAACCATGGAAAGGAGGATCGAATGCATTGTGATTTGACTAAGGTAGAGTATAGCCAGTTGGATACCTGTCCTTGAGAATTTTATGTATTTATTTTTAATTAAAGGGTCAACTAAGGACTTGTTCCAGGTCTAATACCTCTGCGTTTTAGTAAGGCAGTTTCCGTGTTGGAATTACAATAAATGTAGTAAATTTGTAAAGAATTAGGATTAGAGCAAGATCTGGTAAAGAGCATGTGAAGGCCTGGCTATGTCATTGATTGGCTTCTTTAAGAACCTGTTCTGGGGCTGGTTGTTAATACTATTTACACTAATGCCTTGTAAGGGTGTGCTGAATAAATTTGCAGGGGATGTGACATTAGCCTTGTTATTGCAGAGAAAGATCAGAGTATTGCACAAGAACTGGATTGCCTTGAAAGTGACTGGAGCTATAGAGATGAGATAGAATTTAATAGTACAAAGTGCACTTAGTGACTAACAACACTGAGCTCAGTAGTTAAAATGGCAGAGAAGGAGAAAGACCCGAGGTTTTAGTTGATCGTAGGTGATTGAGCCGTCAATACGTGAGGCTGTAAAAACAACAAATTTAGTTTTAGGATGAGACACAGGATGCCTAACAGCAGAGATAGCAAAATGTTAACTATCACTATAGAAGAAACTAGATACATAAGCTGGAACAGTTTAAAATTTGCATATCTGCATTCAGAACTGCCTTTGAACTGGTACAGTAGTTGAGAAGAGCTGCTAGTGGGGTCAGTGGAGCATTTTTATCTAACACAGCCTGCAGCTTGGGGTCTTTAGCAGGGCTAAAAAGGAGGGCTAAGGAGGGGGTTATGTAGCCTCCCGTAAATCTCCAGGAAAGAACTATTTACATTTTTATATATTTTTTTTA